AAAGTGCTGAAATTTTAAAACATTGTTAAGGACATTTCGTATGTTCAATCAAATTTTAATCATACATGGTTATAATTATGTACCTCTCGTAAGGTGCCAATTCCTCGCAATTCAGAAGTATATATGTATGTGCGCTGTGGTAGTCTTGTTCGTTTGACCAACAAGTTTCTTTTAGTTTCCCACTTAGACGTCCAATTGGTGAGAATATATCAGGCACACCTTCTACTGCGTAACTTTGTCCTACACCCCCATCGCCATAACGTCTTGGAGCCCGTTTGCGTGTACGAACCTTTGGAGCAAAGTAATAAGACGTGAAATGAGAAGTCTCTTCTGTCAGACTTCCCGCCACGATAGACCCTTCAACTTTTGCTAAGTTTTTGGCCTTACCCTTCAAATGCTTCATAAATCGTTCAAACGGATACATCCACCTAAACTGAACAGGTCCTCCCAACTCTGCTTCATGAGGGAGGTGTATAGGTAAATGTTCCATAACATCGAAGAAAGCAGGTGGGAATATTTTCTCCAAATTGCACAACAATATTGGAATATTTGTAGACAGTTGTGCAACTACATCTTCTGATAATGTCCTTGTACTTAGATCACGGAAGAAAGCTCCAATGCCTCCTAGTGCCTCATGGACATGTCCCGGTAGGAGTTCAGCAAACGCAAAAGGAAGTAACCGTTGCATAAACACATGACAATCATGACTTTTCATCCCTGAAAACTTTTGTCCTTTATCCACAGATTTAGCCAGATTAGATACATATCCATCAGGAAATTTCACGGCTGATGATACCCAATTAAACAATGCTGTTTTTTGTTCAGCACCCAACCGAAATACAGGAACAGGTGCTTTCCCATTACTCACCATATGCAACTCAATTCTGTAACATATATCGGGTAAGTCCATCCGTGATTTAACGCTGTCTTTGGTTCTTCCTTGGACGTTCAAAACAGTATTCATGATGTTATCGAAAAAATTCTTCTCAATGTGCATAACATCAAGATTATGTCTAAGCAAATGATCTTTCCAGTAAGGCAGATCCCAAAATATACTTTTCTTGTGCCAATTATGATGAACCCCATATCCGTCAGGCATATTCGCAGGAGTGTGCCAATTTCCTCCAAGGGGGACCGTTTCAAGTCCACCCCAATGATCTATTTGCGCTTCAAGCTCTACTCCAGTTAGGTACACTGGTGGAGGGAGACGAACCAATTTGTTCTTTATAAACAAACGCCTATTTCTTCTATATTGATGGTTTGGTGGTAAAAACCGACGGTGGCAATCAAACCAACAGGTTTTCCTACCATGTTTAAGCTGAAATGCATCAGTCCTATGAAGACAATAAGGACATGATAACCTCCCATGCGTTGTCCAACCTGATAGCATTCCGTATGCCGGGAAATCGCTTATTGTCCACATAAGCACCGCTCGCATCGTAAAATTTTTACCACTCGAACAGTCATATGTTCGTACTCCAACATGCCACAACTGGTTTAACTCATGTATGAGTGGTTGCAAAAAAACATCAAGGGCCCGCTTCGGGTGATTTGGACCAGGGACTAATATACTTAGAAACAAAAACTCTCTTTCCATGCACATATCTGGAGGAAGGTTATATGGCGTAAGAATCACAGGCCATAATGAATATTGCCTACCAGACATACCAAATGGACTAAACCCGTCAGTGCAAAGACCAAGATAAACATTTCGCTTAGACCTAGCAAAGTCTGGATGTACGGTGTTAAAATGTTTCCAAGATTTCCCGTCAGACGGGTGAGTCATTTTGCCATCTGTTTGTGAATGTTCTGCATGCCATCTCATCGACGCAGCTGTCCGTTCGGATTGATATAGTCTTTTTAACCTATCAGTGATAGGAAGATACCACATTCGTTGGTAAGGAATCTTCTTACGCCCAGCAATTTGCGGTCTATATCTTGGCTTTTGGCAAAAACGACATTCTTCAAGCTTCTCATCATCTCTCCAAAAAAGCATACAATTATCAACACAAACATCAATCATCTCAGAAGGCAATCCAAGACTAAAAACCAGCTTCTGAATTTCATAATACGTTTCAGCAGCCAAATTATCATCTGGCAAATACTCTTTAATAAGATCTGCCCAATCGTTCATGCAAACTTCAGATAGATTGTGATCTGTTTTTATTGTCATCATCCGAGCTGCCAATGATAATTTTGATAAACCTTCCCTACATCCCTCGTACAGAGGCTGTTTTGCTGCGTTTAACATATCATAAAAGCGTTTCGCATCTGCATTGGGCTCCTCAACAGTATCAGCATGTGTTTCATGAAATGCATCAGTAATCATTTCATGCATCCTATCATGATCTTCACCCTGAACTTGACTACTTTGATAATCATTGGACGCTTCAAAATCCACATGTTCTTGATGATTACTACTACTCCGTGCAGCCATCTGACCACTACTTTGACCATATCCCTCTCCATGCTGATACCAAATAAAGTATTGGGGCATGAACCCTCTATTCAATAAATGCTGCCAGACAGTGTCAATAAGAATATGTTTCCTATTTTTGCATTTCACACAAGGACAATACATTTTGCCGCTTTCAATTACAGTTTCCAGAAGGCCGGCTTGGTACATGAATATTTCCAATCCGTTTTTGAAGTCTTCAGTCAACGACCCATCACCATTTTTGGGCGTATACATCCACTTTCGTAGATCGTATATAGACATTTCAAAAACAAATATTTGACTTTTTGTTTCTGAAATTTGATAGAAATTTCAACTACCAAAAATTTTACTTAAACATTCAAAGACTCAAAAAATTTGTGTCTTTATATGTTTTTTTGGGATGATGGAATAATGAGAGAAGAAAGGGTATATATAGAATTTTTTGTTTGGTTACCAACATATTACCATTGCATATTTACATCAAATTTACGTCGAAATAAAATTTACATAACATTTACATCGATTTTACGTCAATTACTAGATAGAGGACAATTCGTCGTATTATCGATGTAAATTTTACGACAAGATTACGACGAAATAAAATTCGTTCTTTATTCGTCGTAAAATCGTCGTAACATTACGACGATTTTACGAGGGTTATTTTTTACGTCGAATTTACGACGAAATTTTTGATCGTCGTAAATACGACGTAATGTCGTCGTAAATTTACGACGACTACAAATCGTCGTAAATAATTCGACGGAAAAGCCCCTCTTTCTTGTAGTGACTTTCCTCTTGATGCTGATGATGGGAGGATGAATAGTTGGGTTGTAGTGGAGGTCCTTGGTGATGTGAAAACCAATGTTCCTATGGTCAGAAATTGAGGTGATGGAGGGATTGGGCAGCAAGATCCACACATCTCTGTCATAGAAAGTGAGATTATAAGCAAACAAGCCTCCTTCCACAGATCCCTCAATGAAAGTTGTTTTCACCAAATGTGCTGCATCCATCAACTTAAAGTGCTTCTTCTCACCAAGCAGAGGTGCTCCTTTAGCAACCAAGAGAGGAGTGATAAGACCTCCACAGCTCAGGCATGGTTTCTTGCTCTTGGTGGTGTAATCCCATTCCTTGAGATGTAGAAGATGCTTCATTAAAAGTGCTGCCATAGAAGGCTTGACCTCATCTCCAATGAATGGTGCACCACTCAGATAGAAAGGCAAGAAAGCTTTCATCCCTATTTGCACAATTCTCATCTCTTCCTCAGAAACTGAACCAAACTCTTTCTTTCCAAAGAAAGTATGAGCTACAACCTTGTGAGCCATTCTTATTGCTGGGTTCCTCAAGTTCGAAGCTTTGCTTAAAGATATCATCCATTAGCTGAGAGCTTCCAAAGTGCTTCCACATCTTCTTTAGTGGAAGAGGGTTCACCAATATCAGACCTATTCTCAGTGGCAAACCCAAAGACTTCACATATCTCAGCAAAAGTCATTTCATATCTCTCCATCCCAATCTTGAAGTCTATGGAACAATGCTCTTCATCTTTGTGGAAAGTGACAAGCAAGGAAGCAAGGAATTGGGCTGTGGAATCACTCTAAGCATGGTGAGGCATGTCAATCAAGTTACCAAGACCAGCTACTTGGGTAATGGTCCTCACATCTTCCAAGATCCCAAGCTTCTCAGGGAGTTCACAATCAGGAAACCAAGTTGGCTCCATCTCTATCTCTCTCAGCTTCCTCAAGAAATCATCAAAAGATGGTTCTTTGATTTTCCTTGGCCTCTTGCTCTCTGTCTTTTTCCTTTCCTAGCAGCTGCCTGAACAGCTCTCACATCTTCGCTAGCTGCCTCATTCCTTTCAGTTATTTTTCCTTGGGACTTGGAGGTTGAGGCTTCACCCTTTCTAACAACCATCTGCTTGCCTTTCTCAGCACCTTTCTTTGCCTTTTCTGTTTAAGCAGATCCTCTAATCTTCCCCATTGTTCTTGAAAACACAAGTCTCACACAAGAAATGAGCATCTAAACCAAGGGAATACCACTTGTGCGATTTTATGAAATTAAAAATGGTGAAATCACTGTGAATTTTCGGAAACAATTTTAGCATGAATAGCACATCCAAATCAATCCACAGCAATTTACCACATAAAAAAAATCGGATAAGCCCAAAACAATTCTTGCACCAAAAATCACAGCTCAAAGACAAGTTTCTCAAGAAATGCAAAACTCAACTTAAGAACAGCAATTAAACACAGGGGTTCCTTCCTAACTCATTTTCAACCTAAATCCCAAGGTTCTAAGTCCCTCTAACAGTGCATTAATCGATTTCAAGAAAATTTCTTCAAGAAAAATTCAGTTCATAATCGGTTCCGTTTCAAGAACAAGAGAGATGCTTTTCATGATCGATTACCTTGGGATTAAGTGGAATTCAGCTAGTGACGTTTGCAGGAGCAGAAAGAGGATGGATAAACGAGCTCAATGCAAAAAGAATCACGAAAAACCGACTTGAAATGAACAAGTTATGAGAGAATGAAGTTCAGGTAATGAAAGAAAGCAAGCCAGGTTTCGGGGAATGAGGCTTTGTCTCTATGTCGGTGTGGGAAACAGCTGGGAAGGACTGTCTTCTGTTGACTTTGACCAGACACACCCCGATGTCAAGCCCGGTGTTAAGCGTTTTGTTTCAGGTGTGTTCCATACCAGCTTGAGTCTCCCAGGTGTTTGTCCTGGTGCTGAGTTCTTCTTCCCAATTTGAATGTGAGTCCAGTAATCAAAAGCAGAAACGGTCATTCATTATCCGACTATAAAGGAGAGATGCCTGTCCCTGATGATATTGGAAAGTATAAGAAATCAAATCATCTAATCCGGGATGAGAAATCATACGATCGTGCAAAACTTGCAAACGATCATGTCAAGTTGTTTTCAACAATAACCAATGAACAGAAGGATATCTACAATGAGATAATGGATGCAGTTACAAGAGGTATCGGTGGAATGTTTTTTGTTTATAGATATGGTGGGACAGGTAAAACGTACCTATGGAGGCTTTTAGGCGCTGCTCTTCGTTCTCAAGGAAAAATAGTTCTCAATGTTGCATCAAGTGGCATTGCAGCATTGTTATTAGAGGGAGGAAGAACAGCGCATTCTCGGTTTGGAATACCCATAGTTGTGAACGAGTATACATTCTGTAATGTGAGTTCTGGATCACACCAAGCAGAGCTGATTGAAGCAGCCAATCTTATTATATGGGATGAGGCTCCGATGATGAGCAAGCATTGTTTTGAGACATTGGATCGGACTATGCGTGATATACTAAAGTGTGATAAGGTCTTTGGTGGAAAGGTCGTTGTTTTGGGTGGTGACTGTCGACAAATACTCCCTGTTATTGTCGGAGGCAATAGCTCAGAGACTATATTGGCAACTGTGAATTCTTCTCATATTTGGTCTGATTGCAAAGTTCTGCAGCTAAAGACAAATATGAGACTGTTTCGTGGCGATAATGATTTTAATAATCAAGAAATTGAAGAATTCGCCAAGTGGATCTTGGATGTTGGTGATGGAAAACTAAATATTCATGATACCATGGAAGATGAATTAGAAATTCCAGCGGATTTGCTGATAAGCGGAGAAGGTGATCCTGTTAAGAGAATAGTCTCGGAGATTTATGGTCAATCTTACACAACCACTCATGAACCAGTTTTTTTTTCAGGAAAGGGCAATACTCAGTCCATGGAATCAGGATGTCGACGTTATCAATGAATTCATGCTATCAGAACTCAAAGGTCTTCGTTATATGATTTATCACAATTCCTTTTAATTCGTATTTATATTATAATTAAAATATAACAGTACTAACATAGTTTGAATTGTTTTTATTAGGTGAGGAACATGAATACCTTAGTGCCGATAGCATTGATACTTCAGACACAAGCAAAATAGACGAAGTCGTCTATACACAGGAGTATCTTAATAGTATAAAGGTATCAGGGCTGCCAAATCATTCTCTCAAGTTAAAGATAGGAGCTCCAATAATGTTGCTTAGAAATATTGATCCTAAGGGTGGTTTGTCTAATGGTACGAGGTTGCTTATTACTCGGTTAGCTAGGCATTTAATCGAGGCAAGCCATTTAACCGGGAAGAAAATAGGAAAAAAGGTTATCATACCTAGAATGTTTGTGTCACCACCAGAAGCAAGGTTTCCTTTTAGAATGCGCCGGAGGCAGTTTCCTATTACCATAGCTTTTGCTATGACTATAAACAAAAGTCAGGGTCAGACTCTACAAAAGGTAGAATTATATTTGCCAAAGGTGTTCTCGCATGGTCAACTTTATGTCGCCGTCTCTAGATTTACATCACGCCAAGGGTTGAAGATTCTTATTACAGATAAGAATGGCAAAACACAAAAGAAGACAATGAATGTTGTTTACAAAGACGTGTTTGAAAACATTTATAGAAATTCGCGGTTGGTTTGAATAGATTGTTTTGTTTGCTACTAAAAGTATGTTTAGATTACATTGGATATTAGTTATAATATTTTGGTGGTCATTGGTATTTTTAAACTGTTTTATCTTTTATATTATGTTATATTTAACTGATTTATCTTTTGGATCTTCTTATATTATGAATTAGTGTTCACTATGATAACGTTTTGAATAGCTCTGTTTGTTTGAATTAAAAAATTAGTAAATGATCAGTTGTTATAATATGCTTTTTTAAGTATATATATTAAACATTATACAAATCAAATTATACGCTTCCAATTATGGTTTGAATATTATATTTTTAACTCAACAAACTTTCGAAATATGGATCGAATATTAAATTTAAAACACAAAAAACTGTTTAGGTATTATATTCAAAACTAAAAAAACTTTTGAAGAGCATCAGCCCGCGCAGGGCGCGGGCCAGCCACCTAGTATTACACTATAAGGCACTTCTAGCTATTAGGTGATTTTTCTATTTTTCATTCTGAAATTGTCCCTCGTGTTCACAAAAACGGTGGATATCAACTTGTGGATACCAGATTAAACACATATTTTAAAAATAATAATTATTTTCCCCCTTTTGTTTTGTTTTGTATTTTTCTGTATTATGAAAGATTTAAAACAATTTTTTTTGTTAGAATGATTTCTAATTTTATTTTGTCATTGTTTTAAGATCCATTATGCTATACTTTATTTATCAAACAATAAACTTTTCAAATAACCTTTATAAAAAATTCAAAAAAAATCAGAAATCTACTTAGATATCCATACACAAAATACGATGTGGATGATGCATGATAGACATATAACATAGACACGATTACGTGGATATGTTTTCATTCACTTATTTGACGTTGATATACATTTTATATTGTCCATAATTTGGACATGATTATGTGGATAGGTTATGGATAATATAATATGTATATATATATCGAATCTATCAAAGAAAACATATCCACACAATCATGTCTACATTGTGGACAAGAGCACTCTAACCTACATATCTAGAACTCTATTGAGGTGGCTACTCACTAATCATGATTATCTCCCTTGATCATTTGCAAGATGGATAGACAAGCATGATTAGTTGATGAGAAATGATAGAAGATGGACAGATGATGATGAAATGGTGATTAAAGCTCTTAAACTCTCTTGATTCAAGAATAAACTGGAGATATCTCTCTCAAAGTGTGTTATTTCACAAAAGAGGCAAAAAGCTGAAGGGAAAATGAGATAATCCTAAGGGTAAAACTCTAAAAAGTATTTATACTAGTCTACTAACCTCTGGGTCAACCCGGGACAAACCGGGTGTTAACCCCGAAAGAAAAATCTTAAAAACGCTGAAGCACCTACACCGAGATGCATTTGTCCGATGTTCTGGCCGGTGTAAAATGTCCTGAAGCTTGTCTTGGGTGTGTGAGCTGACACCGGGATGCAAATGGCCAGTGTTGATCTCGGTGTTGTGGAGAAAACTTGGACGATGGGGCTAGCACCGGGATGCATCTAGCCGGTGTAGAAGCCGGTGTAAAATGAGCCGAACTTCTGTGGGATTCACACCAGAGAGCAGACCTAGATAAAGCTGCTCGGTGTGGGAAATTGTTCTTTCTGCCGAAGATTCCACCTGGATGCTTTTGGCCAGTGTTGCCCCAGGTGTAGAAAACGAGTGAAGGTTACACCGGGTAAAGCATCGGAATGGGGTTGATCGGTGTGGGCAGTGAAGATGATTGGTGCAAGGCTCAGACTACTCTGGGCTGGAGCATCTCGGTGTGGACCTCGGTGTCAGGTTCAATGTAACAAGATCCTCAAAGTGTGTTCAACACAGAGGTCAATATTCCCGGTGTTCATCTTGGTGCCAATGAACTCTCAAAACTTAAACCACTGTAACTTTCTGCTCAGTATTCATAATCCCAATCTTCCAGCTCCAGGTGAAAGAAAGCTCACTCAGCTTCTACTTTGATGAAGGAACCATCTGCATTAGGGAAAGGAAGGTCTCTCGGACGGTCGATCTTTGAAGTGCACCAGAATGCCCTGGAAAAAGGCCTCAGAACCCGTGTTCAACCCCGGAAACATTATCTCCCAGCTCAGAGCTCCAAATTGTGTGATCTCAAGCGTTCTGGAAATAGGACTCAAAGCTCTTGAATCTTGTTGAAGGCTCCGGAAACTGAATCGGTGAAAAAGGGCTTCGTCCTTCGTCGTCTCTTAAGCACATCAGATCGGTCTGGTATGCAAGCAAGACAGGTATGTCTTCTGATGGCTATAAGTCTCAGCTCACTGGTCCGAATCCACTAATTCTAACTTTAATGATGCCCCCGGAAGATGAATCGGACGTTAAGACTCCCCGAACATGTGATCTTTGAGACGTATGGGCACAATAGGTTTTAGCCGATAAATCGTTATCGCGGTAAACCTTTTAGCCAAAAAAAAAACTCATCCCTCTCGGCATAAAGATTTAGCCGATAACTCCTGGTCTGGTACAGCATTTGGCCGATAAAAACTCCACCTGGTAAGCGTTTTAGCCGAGAAAATGTAGCCTGCGGCACATGGCTTTGCCGATGGAACCAAAACACCATTTCCACCATTTCTGATCCTCCAAACTCCATCTCATCACTTGGTTTCACCTTTTCTACTCCCTCCAAAGTACCTGTTTAAGACTCCAAACCATGCAAAGACTCACTTGGACCTAATGCAAACTCCTAAGTCTAAAACAATGCCTAAAGACCTAAAATGCATGAAATATGACATGATTTGGAATGAAATATGCAAGCTAAATGATGCATTTTATGAACATATCAACTCCCCCACACTTGTCCCTTGCTTGTACTCAAGCAAAAAGAATAAATAAAGAGAGAGGTTGAATGCTTGGGAGTTCATATTCCATAATAAGAGAGTGGATCACTTAAAAAATTCAAAGTTCATTGTCCTAGTTGCTAATTCTAAGATGCAGTGCAAACAAGATTACTCATAAAACGTTTGCCATACTTATCATAAAGTGAATCAAGCCTCAGCATCAGCTTTTACAAGCAGCTCTAGTTCCAACCTTTTGACATTCATTAAAGTGCAAAGTGGATCATGCTCATGCGAATCATGTGAACTCATTTGTCTTGGGACTGGGTTTTGAGACTAAAATGATCTCAACAAGTCACTGGTTACTCCAAGCAAAAGGATCTCTCAATGAATAGCAGACTCAATAAAAGGCTAAGCGTAAAAAGCAATGGGCGCATACAGAGTCAGAACCACATCTACCCATACCCAAAAGATGCTTTCACTCCTTATTCTAAACCCATCAAGCTTCTCTTCTCTTCACCAGCTCTCATCACTCTTTTTCATTTCAACTCAAGGGGAATGATCTCTTTTCTTTTCAAACACTTGGAGAGATTTTATTCTTTCAAACACTTAGCTCTTTTCTTATTCTACTCTCTCTCTTTTTCATTTTTTTCTTTTCTTTTTAAGAGACTTTTCACTTCAACACATAGCTTTCTTTTCATTTCTCACTCTCCATTTCTTTTTAGAACACTTGAGAACACATTCCCCTACATAGCATCACTTTCCTCTCATTTTTACCACTCAAAATTTTTCTTTCAGCTCACAAGCTCAAACAAACTCTCACACACTCGCCTAATCCTGGACTAGTCCTTGATGTTGGACTAGTATCTACATGCGGCTCTTTCTCTGTCGCTCTAAACCCAACACCATTTACCGAGTCTACTAGAACAAGGCCTCACACAAACGCACACAGTAAGGGTTATTGGCTTCAAAGAAAGGTTTGGTTCAAGGCAGGGAACTGTCTCAAGATGACAGAGCAGCTATTTGAGCTAGCAAAGAGTAGTAAAAAGGCATAATAAGAAAGCTCAAATATTTTAAGGTACTCATGAGTTCACAATGACATGCACAAACATGCTAATTAGATTGTCAAATTATGGTTCTCACTTAGATAAGGCTGGAACTATTCAAAGCTTGACAAGTTCCGAGTATGGATCAATCTTGATTTCTTTCTTGTTTGCATGCATCAAACTAGAAACTAGGGCAATGAACTGAATTCTTAAAGTGATATTCTCTCAAGGAAAAACCTATCCTCACTCCCATGCAATAATGCAACCTACATGATTATGAAACTAGACTCAATCCTAAAAATGTGAATGCAACTAAATGAACATTTTTTTTTTGTGAAAAATATTCTGATTTTCAATTTTTTTTTGGTTTTTTATATGCACTTAGATGCAGACTCAAAATGAAAAGGAAAATAAGATCAAGAACAAACATGGTTAGCAATACTAAACTCCTCCCCCATACTTAAATAACACAGTCCCTTGTGTTATAAAAGCATAAGAAAAGAGTGTAGATCAAGCTCAAAATGCAATATACAGAAATAAAATGCAAAATGCTATGTACAAGTTGGAGTTGTTACCTCTCAAGGACTTGGAGGTGGGGTTGGAGGCCCCAGGGAGTAGGATGGATTGCAGGAATGATCTGATGGTGATTTCATTGCATCACGCCGTGCCCTCATCTCCTCATCAGGTGAACTATGATCGCTGTACACCACCAGTTGGCTCTCTTGCTCAGAACTCTCTCCTACACCTTCTCTAGCTTGCAGTGGTTCAATATTTATGGGCTGGGAACTTTCTCCTTTCTCTCCCTTGCTGCTAAGCTCCTTGGTCTTTGCCACTTGTTCCACCCTTGAAGCTGATTAGTATGGTGATGAGCTTGGGCAATGGGTTCAGGCATTCTTCCATTATATAGAGTGAAGAATTACCTTTCACTACCATACTTTGGATCAGGGATCACTGGCTCATCCTCTTGAGCTTCTTTATCATCACTTATTTCTTTCTTTCCCTTGCTCACTTTCCTCTTGATGCTGATGATGGGAGGATGAATAGTTGGGTTGTAGTGGAGGTCCTTGGTGATGTGAAAACCAATGTTCCTATGGTCAGAAATTGAGGTGATGGAGGGATTGGGCAGCAAGATCCTCACATCTCTGTCATAGAAAGTGAGATTATAAGCAAACAAGCCTCCTTCCACAGATCCCTCAATGAAAGTTGTTTTCACCAAATGTGCTGCATCCATCAACTTAAAGTGCTTCTTCTCACCAAGCAGAGGTGCTCCTTTAGCAATCAAGAGAGGAGTGATAAGACCTCCACAGCTCAGGCATGGTTTCTTGCTCTTGGTGGTGTAATCCCATTCCTTGAGATGTAGAAGATGCTTCATTAAAAGTGCTGCCATAGAAGGCTTGACCTCATCTCCAATGAATGGTGCACCACTCAGATAGAAAGACAAGAAAGCTTTCATCCCCATTTGCACAATTCTCATCTCTTCCTCAGAAACTGAACCAAACTCTTTCTTTCCAAAGAAAGTATGAGCTACAACCTTGTGAGCCATTCTTATTGCTGGGTTCCTCAAGTTAGAAGCTTTGCTTATCCAGAAAGATATCATCCATTAGCTGAGAGCTTCCAAAGTGCTTCCACATCTTCTTTAGTGGAAGAGGGTTCACCAATATCAGACCTATTCTCAGTGGCAAACCCAAAGACTTCACATATCTCAGCAATAAGTCATTTCATATCTCTCCATCCCAATCTTGAAGTCTATGGAACAATGCTCTTCATCTTTGTGGAAAGTGACAAGCAAGGAAGCAAGGAATTGGGCTGTGGAATCACTCTAAGCATGGTGAGGCATGTCAATCAAGTTCCCAAGACCAGCTACTTGGGTAATGGTCCTCACATATTCCAAGATCCCAAGCTTCTCAAGGAGTTCACAATCAGGAAACCAAGTTGCTTCCATCTCTATCTCTCTCAGCTTCCTCAAGAAATCATCAAAAGATGGTTCTTTGATTTTCCTTGGCCTCTTGCTCTCTGTCTTTTTCCTTTCCTAGCAGCTGCCTGAACAGCTCTCACATCTTCGCTAGCTGCCTCATTCCTTTCAGTTATTTTTCCTTGGGACTTGGAGGTTGAGGCTTCACCCTTTCTAACAACCATCTGCTTGCCTTTCTCAGCACCTTTCTTTGCCTTTTCTGTTTAAGCAGATCCTCTAATCTTCCCCATTGTTCTTGAAAACACAAGTCTCACACAAGAAATGAGCATCTAAACCAAGGGAATACCACTTGTGCGATTTTATGAAATTAAAAATGGTGAAATCACTGTGAATTTTCGGAAACAATTTTAGCATGAATAGCACATCCAAATCAATCCACAGCAATTTACCACATAAAAAAAAATCGGATAAGCCCAAAACAATTCTTGCACCAAAAATCACAGCTCAAAGACAAGTTTCTCAAGAAATGCAAAACTCAACTTAAGAACAGCAATTAAACACAGGGGTTCCTTCCTAACTCATTTTCAACCTAAATCCCAAGGTTCTAAGTCCCTCTAACAGTGCATTAATCGATTTCAAGAAAATTTCTTCAAGAAAAATTCAGTTCAGAATCGGTTCCGTTTCAAGAACAAGAGAGATGCTTTTCATGATCGATTACCTTGGGATTAAGTGGAATTCAGCTAGAGACGTTTGCAGGAGCAGAAAGAGGATGGATAAACGAGCTCAATGCAAAAAGAATCACGAAAAACCGACTTGAAATGAACAAGTTATGAGAGAATGAAGTTCAGGTAATGAAAGAAAGCAAGCCAGGTTTCGGGGAATGAGGCTTTGTCTCTATGTCGGTGTGGGAAACAGCTGGGAAGGACTGTCTTCTGTTGACTTTGACCAGACACACCCCGATGTCAAGCCCGGTGTTAAGCGTTTTGTTTCAGGTGTGTTCCATACCGGCTTGAGTCTCCCAGGTGTTTGTCCTGGTGCTGAGTTCTTCTTCCCAATTTGTGTTCTACACCGGCCATCATATCTCCGGTGCTGTCCCCGGTGTTGGTTTTTTCTTGGGTAAAAATTTCTACACCGAGCTGCTTTTACGCGGTGTGATCCCCGGTGTTGGTCAGAATGCTTTTAGGCCAGATTTACACCGAGTTTGATCTTCCAGGTGCTGATCCAGGTGTTGTGCAGCACGGTCTGGGGAGTTTCTACACCGGCTTAGATTTTCCCGGAGCTGAAGCTGGTGTCAAACCCATACACCTCAAGGATATGCACACCAAGCTCAAGCATCCCGAGGTGCTTCCCGGTGTAAAACCCTCATGTTTTGGGGTTAATTCTACACCGAGGTTCATTTGCCCAATGCTGTCCCCGGTGCTAAACTTTCCTAAAGAAAAACTTTCCACACCGAGGTGCATATGGCTGATGCTGAGCTCAATGTGCCCCAGACCGGATTTAACTTGGTGCAGCATGTCTTTTCCTTCCCTTTGGCACCATTCCTTCTTCTTAGGACAACTCCTGAACACTTATAGACCTGAACAGACTCAACAAACACATCGAAAACATCCTAAAAACATAAAAAGAAAGAAGAAAAAAGATTAAAAAGAAGTATGTACAAGGATAAGCTTGGGGTGTCTCCCAAGAGAACTTTGTTTAATGTCACTAAGTTTGACTTTTCATACCCATTACTGGGTTGGGGGGTCATCAAGATAGACTATGGTAGCTCTCTCTTTGATTTCACTAGCCAAATAAGGCTTGAGCCTTTGTCCATCACCACTAAACTGTTACCATTCTTTTCCTCAAGTTCAATGGCTCCATAGCTTCTCACTTGTAAGATCTTGAAAGGCCCTGGCCATCTTGACTTAAGTTTCCCTGGAAACATCTTTAGCCTTGAGTTGAACAAGAGAACAAGATCCTCTTCCTTGAAATCCCTCTTGAGAATCTTCTGATCATGTAGCGTCTTTTTCCTCTCTTTGTATATTTTTGAGCTTTCATAAACATTCAGCCTGATCTCCTCTAGCTCATGAAGCTGTAGCAGCCTCTTTTATTGAGCTGTCTTGATGTCAAAGTTCAGTAACTTCACAGTCCAAAGAGCTTTATACTCCAGCTCAACAGGTAGGTGGCAGCTTTTCCCATACAACAGATTGAAAGGTGATGTCCCAATGGGGGTTTTGAAAGCTATCCTATAGGTCCATAGTGCATCATCTAACTTCTTAGACCAGTCTTTTCTAGATGCATTCACTGTCCTTTCAAGGATTGCTTTTATCTGTTTGTTGGAGGTCTCCACTTGTCCACTGGTTTGGGAATGATATGAATTTGCTATCTTGTGCTGAACCCCATGCTTCCATAGCAAACCTTCCAAAGTCGTGTTCAATAAGTGAGTCCCACCATAACTGATCACAACTCTTGGAACACTAAATCTTGGGAAGATGATGCTCTTAAACAGCTTGCACACAACCTTAGAGTCATTTGTGGGACTAGCAATGGCCTCCACCCATTTTGACACATAGTCCACAGCCACTAAGATGTACTGATTTCCATGAGAAGAGATGAATGTCCCCATAAAGTCAATGCCCCAACAATCAAATATCTCAACTTCTAAGATGGGGTTCTGAGGCATTTCATTCCTTCTTGAGATGTTGCCCTGTCTTTGGCAGGAGTCACAGCTTGACACTACACTTTGTGCATCCTTGAACATGGAAAGCCACCAAAACCCTGATTAAAGAACCTTAGCAATGGTGTGGGTGCAGTAGGCAACACAAGTTTTACCCTAGACAAGCTGCAAGTGCACAGCAAGCGCAGTAGAACTTAGGGATCGAATCCACAGGGAATTGTGTGTTGAGGACTTCTAACTGATGCTAAAAACAATCATAGACCTAATCTAATAAAAAGGGGGTTTGGTTTGTCTCTAAATCTAATAAAGCAGAGAATTAAAAAGCTGGAAATAAAAATCGGTTGAAAACAATAAGAAAAATGGCGCTGGGTTCAAGGTTCATCTTTAGGGTTCATGTTCTAAAACACAAGGAATTTAGGCAAGGATTTTCTATGACTCTGAAACTAGGATAGACACTTGTAAAATTAGCCAACTCTCTTCACCCTAATCATCTAATCACTCATTCATGGCAAGTAACTCTCGCTCTCATGCATGAACAAGATCATGCATTGCAGATTGGAATCCATCTCGGCTTACATATCCTATGTAGGTAGATTTCGTCTCCTATGACGGTGACGTCCATAAGATCCAGTTCAGGCAACCCAGATACAACACTCTCGTGGTTCGGATTTAACCTAGGTTCGGACTCTGGGTGATCAATCCAGGGTTACCACTTTGAGATTTGGATGAATGGGAGAATCATGTAAAATCGAAATCCTTTTTCCTAAAAATCTAGATTTCATTCAAACATGGGATCCCTTAGGATTTCCCCCTCACCCAACTAGTTTACTACTCAGACATGGCTGAGATAGACATCATCATCGGTTTATAACTTAGAAAGAAGAAAAGTAAAGAAACAAAAGTTGCAGAAAAATTTCTCTTATTGAAGACAGAGTGGCGATGAAGAGCTTCTACAGATGCATAAAAATAAAACCTAAAACTACAAATGAGTTCTCTCTCAAAGAGAATAAAGAGGCTCTCCTACAAAAGACCTAAAAATGAGTATTTATAGTGTTTCTCTAAGTCTTGGCGTCTAGGGCTTGTAAAATGGGTGGAGGAAGTATCTTGGGTCTTAGTTGGACTCCTGAGGTTCGGAAATAGGTCCACTGGGGGTAAAACCTCTTGAGCAGCGGTGGGAACAAGTCTGGCCGCGGGTGAAAGCTTCTGTCCTTGACTGGACTTGTGTTAATCGGCCTTTAGTGCATTGATGTATCTGGAGATCTAGCCGTTGGATTGCTTTGATTCCAAGTGTGTTGGAAGGCTGGTTATCTCCTCTGTAATGTCATTAAATTTGGGGATGATCAAACGCTGAGAAGGTCTTCATTTGTTGCCAAACTTCTGACGCTCTGAATTTATCCAAAACTGTACTTTTTCTCCAAAATGCACTCCAAAGCTCCTAGTTTCCTGAAAAACCTTTTAAAACTCTAAAACATGGAAAACACTTATAAAACCTTTAAAACTGAGTGAAAACCCTTGCATAAGATAGTGAAAGTGATCCATAAAAATGATCAAAATCAGGTGTTATCAAACAACAGTCTTGAAAGCCCCTATATGCCCTCCATATGCTGAACCGTGGCACTCTTGTAGAACCGGTTGCACTTCTTCCTCAGCTAGGCATCTCCTAAACAAATGATCTTTGCTGAGCTCATACAAGTATGGCTCATCCTAGAAGTACCTTTTCACATCTTTGAAGAACTTATTTCTTTGATAAGCATTCAACTCTGGTGGCTCTACACACAATGTCAGCAAACCATGGTAAGCCTCTTTCTCTGATGGTGTTAGCTTGCTCAATCTCCAAATAAGACTTGATCACCATGAGTTGCTCTTCAGGCAATGAATCATTCAAGGGGACTTCAGAACCCACTCTTAATCTTGAAAGGTGATCAGCTGCACCATTTTCTATGCCCTTCTTATCTTGAACTTTTATGTGAAACTCTTGTAGGAGAAGCACCCATCTCAAAAGCCATATTTCTTGGTCATTAGATACCTAAGAGCTGCATGGTCTGTGTAGACCACCACCATTGAGCCAACTAAATAACTTCTGAATTTATCAAAGACAAATACTATCACAAGCATTTACTTTTCAGTTGTAGCATACTTTTCCTGAGCTGAATTCAAAGTTCTGATTGCATAGTATATGACAAGCAGCTTCTTATCTTCCTTTTGCCCCAAAACAGCTCCCACAGCATAGTCTGATGCATCTGTCATTACCTCAAAAGGAAAAGTCCAATCTGGGGTTTGGAATATAGGAGCACTGATGAGAGCTTCCTTGATCTTCTTAAAAGCCTCCTCACACTCAGCATCAAACTGAAACTCCACATCTTTACACAGTAAACTTGTCAATGGCCATGCAATCTTAGAGAAATCTTAGATGAATCTCCTATAGAACCCAACATGACCCAATAAGCTTCTGATTCCTTTGACTGAGTTTGGGGCTTTTAAGTTGACCACGACCTCAACCTTGGCTTTGTCCACCTCAATGCCTGCCTCTGATACCATGTGTCCAAGCATTATCCCTTCTGGTACCATGAAATGGCACTTTTCCCAATTCAGAACAAGGCTTGTTTCCTCACATCTCCTCAAGACCTGAGAAAGATTAGACAAACATGAAGAGAAGGAGGATCCATAGACTTAGAAATCATCCATGAATGCCTCAATCTTCTCTTCTATTAGATCAGAGTAAATATGCATCATGCACCTTTGAAAGGTGGCTGGTGCATTACACTAGCGAAGGGCATTCTCCTATATGAATATGTACCATATGGACATGTAAATGTTGTTTTATCTTGATCTCTGGGGTCTATTGGAATCTGAAAGAACCCAGAGTACCCATCAAGAAAAAAATATTAAGGATCATTAGCTAACCTCTCTAACATCTGATCAATGAATGGTAAAGGAAAGTGATCCTTTCTTGAGGCTGCATTTAACTTCCTATAGTCTATGCACATTCTATGGCCAGTTATGGTTCTAGTTGCAATCAGCTCATCCTTTATATTTCTAATTACTGTCATCCCACCCTTTTTGGGCACCACAAGGACTGGTGAAACCCATCTTGAGTCAGAGATTGGGTAACTGATCCCTGCCTCAAGAAGTTTTAGGATTTCCTTCTTAACTACTTCTTTTAAGTTAGGATTCATCCTTCTTTGGTGTTCAATGGATGACATAGATTCTTCTTCAAGATGAATTCCATGTGTGCATAGGTTGGATGAGATACCTATTATGTCATCTAATGAATAACCAATGGCTCTCCTATACTTTCTCAACCATTCAGCAATGCTTTCTCTGGATGATCTAGCAACCTATCATTAATGTTGACAGGGTAAGAAGAGTTAGAGCCAAGGAATGCATACCTGAGCCCTGTTGGTAGAGGTTTAAGCTCAACAGGGGGTGCTTTGGTCTCATCCCTATCCTCCATGAAGCTCTTTTGATCAGCTTCTGGCCCAATGCTGTTGGCTTCTACCCCTTGTTCAGCAGTTGCTAAGAAAATTCATCCAAGGATAACTAGATATGAGTCATTTTTGGTCTTCACTATGTATAGATCGACAGGTGCTATGCAGTCTCCAATCCTTAGAGGAATATCTCGGGTTATCCCTGTTGGTATTGCACTCTAATCATCTGTTAAGCTAATCTTTGTCCTGGTACTTGAAATGTGCTTAATGCCAAGTCTCAAAGCAATAACTTTGGACATCATGTTAATGCAAGCTCCAGAATCACAAAGAATATTGAAGAATCTTTCACCTCTAATGTCACAAGAGATAAGAAATTGATCTTTGTCTTGAACGTTGTGCAGCGTTCGAACTTGTCTTTCCTGTGGATGATCTGGTGCTTCAAATGTAGAATAAGAATCACAATAGAACTTTGCTGCATCGAAACTGATGATTGAATCTATGTATGGCATTTTGATTCTCTTAGGTGACTCATCCTCCACATCTATGACGTTTGGTTCTCTTTCTGTAATCATCATGCATGGGATGTGAGAGTGATGTTCATCAGGATCCTCAGGGTCTTGGTGATGCAAACTTAGAGAGGGATGGTGATTCCCCGCGGGTGAAGGTATCGCACCCGCGGCCAAGTGTCTTCCCGCCATGGGTGAAGTTCTCGCGGCCGTGGTGAGGAGTTTCGAAGGCTGCTCAGCTGCTCCTCCTTCTTGCTCTTCCAGGATGTCCTCAAGGCTATTCTGGGTGTCCATTGTAGGATCTCAGCTTCAAAATTTGTTGATCCTCCATCTTTTTGCTGACCATGAACAAGAGAGTCCTTCTTATGATTCTCAAAGATCTTCCTCACCACAAGGTTTGTGTCTTCTTGGCACTTAGAGAGATGCTTAATGTCAGAATTGGTTTCCCTGCTCTTGTGCTCAAGCTTACTTAAGCGAAATTCAATCTCTTGATGCTCACCATCTGTTCTTCCTCTGTACCATGAAGGGATTTCGTTTGCTTCCTTGATCTCTAGCTTGGCAGCCTTGGCATCGATGGACCCTTGAAGGATATCATACTTCTGTCTTGGCTGCTCTTCCTCAAAAGCTTCTATCTTCCCTCTAAGGACAAAAATATCCTTAGAGTGCAGATCTTCCAGCGACTTCACATGGTTGGTGGGATCATCGCTCCTCTTGTACAAAGTAGCTTCTGTAACAACTTGGAAGTCAAGGTATTGATTCAGCATCACTCATAATCGATTCAGTTGGAGCCTAAATCGATCAGCCTCAGCGTTCTGGTGCAGAATCTGATGAGGTAAAGGGTGAGATGGTCGACGGTTCACCAGGTGTGGCGAATAGGGCTCATCTCGGTTGGTGTGGAGTTCACGAGTCTCCATGGTTCGAATTAGGGTTCCAAACATGATGATCGGAATCACGCCTGGATGGTGATTCACATGCACAGGGAGCTTCACACAGGTTGCAAAACCTTCGCTCGGGATTAGGGTTTCTTCTCGGATGATCCATGCTTCAAGAATTCAAAAACTAGGGCAACCAGAAGAAAAAATAAGCAGAAAAAGAATAAGTTAGGGTGTTTATGAGTTTGGTTTACTTCCTATGATGTTTTGGCAGAAACTCAACATATATAGACTTCTGCGGCTTCAACCTCCTACGTTTAGACCTCCAGCGACTAAAATGTCCCCAGCAACGGCACCAAAAACTTGATGGGCTTACATGCCTAGGGTTTGTTTTTAACAAGCCCATTGGTCCTCAGAAAGTTTTAAATTTATAAAACCCTAGTGTCTGCAAGTGCACAGATGTACGTTGTAGGACTTAAAGTGTCGATCCAGAGGGAAGATGTCTAATCTGCGAGAAACAACAAACTGGGAAGTAAGCAAAATCATAAACTCATGAGATTTTTGGGGTTTTTGGTTAAGACTCCTAAACTAAACCTAATCTAATATTCACAAGAAATAAAATGCAATGCAGATGAATTTTTAAAAGAATATCTCAAGCATATCGACTCAAACTATAGACTCTAAACTCATAGGGTGCGATTTAGACTTCTCTGGTTAACTCTAATCGATGTTTGGTGGCATTTCCAATTAGCTTCCGAGCGATTTATCTTCATCTATTTCTGGGATCTGCATGGAACTAGAATAGACATGTGTATGATTAACCAACCCTCGCCATCTTAATCAAATAATCATTCAGATCTGACATTTAACTCTCGCTCTCATGCCAGAAATAAGATCATGCATTAAATATTAAATTTGTGTGCTCAAATCTTCTCTACAGGTAGCTCTCGACTCCTATAGCGACTATGTTCTTCTGAAGCTAGGTATGGATGATTTGATACAGCACTCTCGTGGCTCTGATCGATCATATGCAGAGAGAATAAGTTATGAATCTACTTTCATGCAATATGAACAACATAGAAGAGATGAGATCCAGAATATAGTTTAAAAACTTAGAAATCCTAATCGATATGTATGCCTATCGAAAACTTCTTCAAACAACTTGACTCTCTAGGACAAATCTATATGATGCAATGGATGATAAAAGCCATGAAAGAATGCAAAAGATGAAACAGAAAAGTTAATTAGATAGAAAGGAGAAAGAACAATGGATCTGGGGAAGAATCCCCATCTCCATCGCCTAACCCAAGAAAAAAAAAAGTTTGGTGGCTCAAAAGGAGCAAACACCCGTTTAGGACTGCTAAGAAATGTATTTATAGGTCATAGGGTCTTACAGGTCTTATTTAGGGCTTCTCTGCAGAGAAATGGCGAATTGGGCTTTGATTTTGAGCCTTGTGGTTCGTCATTAGGTCCACCGGGGGTGAGAGTCTTCCAGGGCAGGTAAAATGCACGTTTACCGCAGGTGAGAGTCTTCCGGGGCCGATGAATTTGGTCAATTTGTTCTCCATGTATATTTTGATTGCACCGTTGGATCTTCGTGATGTAAAGTGCTATGGAAAGATGGTTGTCTCCTCTTGATTGTCGCCAAATTTGAGCTGGATCAGACGGTGAGCAAGTCTTTATTTGAGGTTGAACTTCTGACGGTCTAACTCTGAGCTAAAAATGTGGATTTCTTCCATTTTGCCATCAATTTCCCTAAGTTTCCTGAAAAGAGCCTTGAAACTAAAAATACATAAAAATCATAATAAAAATTTCTAAAACTGATTAAAACCTTTGAAAAAACATTTAAAATTAATGATGAAAATGGGTACAAATACAGTGTTATCAACATACTTTCTATCTGTTTAATAGACTGACATGTTTTGTTAAACCTAATGTTTGACCCCAATAAATTTGTGTTCAAACTTTCAAATTATGGTAATATATATCAAATTTGTTTATTATGACCCATATAAAAATTATTGTTAACTCCGCCTTTGGTTAATCTTCAACAATATTCTTTTTTTACCATTTCCTTTTTTTTTGGCATGAACTTTCATTAATTAATTAATGCAATATATAAACTTATTTACTTTTAAATTATGGTAATATATATCAAATTTGTTTATTATGACCCCAATAAAATTTACTATTAGCTCCACCTCTAGGTTTAGTTACTTCTTTAATGTTCAATGGTATCCACATTTAACCATTGTCTTCTACATTTGCATAAAATTTCCTTAATTAATAGTGCATTAACTTATTTACTTTGTTAATTATAATTTGAAAAGTACTATTATCGAATTAGATATTGAAACGTGTCACAATCATGTTGAGTTATAATTCATTCATTATAATAAGATAAGATACAATAACCACACAACTCAAGTAACAAATAACAACAACAAAAAGATTAAACAAAAAAAAATCTAATATCTCCGACCATTAATATCTTATCTTTGCATGTCCTCAATGACATTCTCTTCAGATTAATTCCCAAATCTTTGGCAAAGATGCAATGCACCTGTAAATTTATGAAATCTCATATATCCGAAGATCCAAAATTCAAATCTGAATATCTTTTCCGGTTCAAGTCCAGTCTGCCTCACATTTCCAGATGTGGCTCCACGTTTGTGTGCTTCAACCCTTTGGGTGATTCTAGGCTATTCCTAAACAACGATGTCTTAGAGAGGTCGTGCCATATCCTCGGTTACTGTTCCGGCCTTCTCCTACTCTTGATTGATGGATGTTTCTGCGTCACCAAACCCCTCACGAAAAGGTTTCGATTCCTGAATCAATCTGAGTGGAGAAGACCAAAATGCATTGAGTTCACAGTTGATCTATTCAATCAAACCACACTTCACTGGTTGACAGAAATGAAACATGTTTACTTGGACAGCACACTTCACTCGTTGAGAAACGATGAAAGTATCATTGCTTTCAATCCCAGAATCGAGGAAGCACGGTATATCATTCCGAGCAAACCCCACCCGGAGCCGGGCACAAAACTCTTGCTCGGAAACCAGGGAGATGATTTACGTTTTTTCCCTTGAAAGTATCCACACCAATCCTAAATGGATCCTCACAAGCCAGATCAGGAACGAGGTGGTAAACGAAAGTATTACGTTGTTCTGGGACATGGAGGCGTACAACGGCAAGTGTTTAGTGGTGAGGACGATGACTAATCTTACAAATCACCGAATGGTTTATGTCTACGACTTGAGAGTGAATAAGTGGGCAATAGTGGGATCAATGCCAATGATGTGCAATAGTGGGATCGATGCCATCGTGGTCTTCTGTTACCGGAGTACAAGATCATGATGGGTCTGTTATCAGATTACTGAATCAGGATAGGCTCTTAACAATAGTTAAATCTGACCGCGTCTCCTCCGTAGAAGATATTATGAGACACATTAATCGTAATATATGAGTCTAAATCCGTTAAATTTAACATGGGCTATATATGTCATTGATATTTGCAAGTCTGTTTTTGGTCGGTTTAAATTTAATTATGCTTCATCTGTCTCATACCTAAAATCATTTTTTTCTGGGCTAGAGAAGAAACTTTGTTCAAACGCTTTTTGCACTATTTACACAAGCAATTAAAGAACAAATGTAGAATGAAATCAATTAAAATACAATTGCGATCAAAGTCTTTTTACACTATTTACACAAAGCAATTATAGTACTTGAGAAAAGAAAAAAGGTCATTCCCTCACACAGATACACAAACCTTATGATAATGGATAATCATCTCTGCTTTCATTGAAATAGACCTCCTAGAGCCCTAAGAACAACTTTTATGGTCGCATGAACACCCTTAATTAGCAGCTATCTTCAGCGCACCACGAGCTTCGTACAACCTGAAGAAGAACAAAAACCACCAAATATCAGTTGAAATATTCATCTTTCAACATCTCAAGATCATTACTAGAAAATCAAACATACCCCCCAAAAGCGTGTTCCCAGGTGAAGAAACATACCCTCAAACATACCCGACATCATGGGAGGGATTGATTACATGCATAGAAGAAACTTTAAACTAGCTACGAGCATTGTATCATCTGAAGATAATGGTTACAACGACAGATTCGTGTCTGATGTGATCATTTACACCGGAGAAGGGGGTTACATGATGAGCAAGGATTATAAAGTAGTTAAAGATCAGCAGCTGGTTAATGGCAATGAGGCTTTAGCTAATAGCATGAAGGAAAAGACACCAGTGAGAGTGATATGTGGAGAGAAGAAATTGAAACAGAGAGGAAAGAAGGTGTATTTTATGATGGGTTGTATTGGGTTAAGGATTATTGGAAAGAGAGAGGAGGTCAAGGTAATATTGTGTTCAAGTTTAAACTTTGTAGGATTCCTGGTCAACCTCATGTCCACTTGAAACATTAGTGTGAGATGAAGAGATCTAGTATCATCAGGTTAGGGTACTGAACTAAAATTGTGTTTACAAATACTGATGGTGTAATAATCATAAAAACAAAATCCATATATTTCAGATTTTCGATTGTATGTTAGTGGATTCAGGACCTCAGAATGTGTTCTAACTTTCTGTACGTGTTTTGATTCAGATATAAATCAATGGACCAATGGGTGTTATAGATAACAAAATTGTGTAGATTTATGAATTATATTTACATAAAAACTCTATAAATTAATACTGGATAATTCATAAAAAAATTTTTTGATTCAAAATACAACACACCTTGATTAAATAATAAAATACTAAGTTTAACAAAACCATTATTTACATACTTTTATTAACATATATAAGATTACAATATGTTCATTTACTTGCTAGTTTATTTATGTATACCTTTATTTACATAATATAGTCAATTCATATATAACGTTACATTTTCATTTACTTGCATAATTTATTTCCTTTCCTTATTTTTATGTCAAAAAAATTGGCCGCCTAGCCGCCTAGATGGCCGATTAGGCGCTAGGCAATAGATGACCGCCGCAACTAGATGCTAGACGGTGTTTTTAGGCAGTTTTCCAAATTTTTACCGCCTAGTACAGCCTAAATCCATCTAGAACTGCGTAGGACGGAATTAAAAAAAAACTGCCACCTAATTTTTGAAGATCGGCTCAAAAGTCTCAAAATTTTTGAAATGGTCGAACTTTATTAATAAAATTTCAATTTTTTAAAAAAATCGGCTCAAGATCAGTCCAGTCAATTTTCTTCCCCAATTGAAAATGGCGATACAGTCAACACTTAACCAATTAACGATTTCCACGACTTAATCTCAAATTAATGATTTTCAATTCAACTGAATTATGATGAAATCAAATCCAAATCAAGCATAAGCGAATTTAAGCTCCAAACTCATAAAAAAACTACTATAAATAATTAAAAATTAAAAATTAAAAATTGAAATCTATATACTTTGATTCTTCTTCTATTTGAAATCAACTTATCACATCTTTTTGGTTGTGAAGCCATCCTTAGTGTATTAGTGCCATGATAAATCCGTTAAGATTTATACAACGTAACAATAAATCACCATACGACCATGATTACCACTGGAAACTACCTCTAAACTAACTATAGAAGTTATGATGGAGAAAAAACTAGCAAACAACACCAGACCACCACCGGTATCTTTGCCAGAATTTACACTTTGGTTAGACCAATGATACATCTGAAGGTGACTTAACACGTTAAGAACAACGAAGTTGAAAAGATAAGTCGTCGAAGGAGCATGATTAATGACGACGAGTTGCATATGCACCCAGCCATCTCTCTCACATCCGTTTATTCCAGAAGATTAATAAAATAAAAGAGAGAGTACGACCAATAAGGTAGCATATATAAGGCTGCAATTTGATATATATTGTTGCTAAACCAAAAGAAATTGAAATAAAAACCAACCAATGGATATATATTGTAAATTTTAGGCCCGCGTATAAGTCATTAAGGTATTTTTCTTCAATCTTTCTACGCCGCCTCTCTTTTTATCTCTCTGCTATTTTTTCTCATCAATCGAATTCTTCTCATTTCCTGCCAATTTCAGATAATTTGTTTTCTCTCTTTATTTGTTTTTTCGATTTCATATAATCTTATGTTAGATAAAATTACATACCATATTTCATACAAACTATTTTGTATTATTCTGATGTGATATTTTTTATTTATATTAAACTGATGTATATTTATGACCTCTTAATTAGCCATGGACATTCGGGTATTCAGTTCGGTAGGTAGAAACATATCAGTTCTGGGTATTTTGGGTAGGTTCCATATAGGTACCGAAATAATCGGTTAATTCGGGTTGGTTCTGGTTTTTGTTTCCAATTTTTTATGCCTTATTGAGTTACTCTCTGTTTATACTCACTACATTGGGTGTAAACGGTTGTTATTAAACAAATTACATAAACAAAAATAAACGAAATAGAATTCAGCGGAATAATAATGACAGAAAACTTTTGTTAACTTTCTGGTGTTTGATTCACTGGAAGTTATCTCTTAGTTTCTACTGCAATAGAACAGCCTGAGATTGTAGTACAAAAGATTCGAAATCCAGAGGACCAGTGTTACTCTATGACTCTACGAGGGTTGAAAAAAAGCTGAAAACGAAAATGGTTGTTGGGGTTTTAATGTAACACGCAAGAGAATGTAATTAACGATTTAAAATTCAATGAAACAAAGCACTAGAGTAAGGCCATTCGCAGGAATTTCAGAGATAGAAATCAAACGACTATTCAGGACACAAATAAATGCAATTCTCGAACTCAAACATGAATGGATACCGATCCACTGTCGTGGTATCAACAACTTTGTGTAAGGACCTATATTCTAAAATATCGGTTGAATGTAGAATACGCAGGCAAGCATTAACAAGTGGGTTTGATATTCACAATTTGCCTTAACATCAACTGTCATTGGCTAAGGACAAATTGCTGACAAATGTTTGTTCTAGCAACCTATTATACTTTTGATGAATAAGTTAACCTAAGATCGTAGATTGAGTGATCAGTTCAACCTAAGAATTAAGAACAACTATGGTGAAAACAATTCTAATTAATCTCTATTTGCATTTTATCACTAACTCATTGAAATCCTTTGAACGCCCTAATCTAGCTAAGAGATCTACTCAGACATGGCGAAAAGAACAAAAATACAGGATGAAAAGAAATTCGTAATTAATCATATGTATCAAGAGGGTTCAGAATTCTTCTCAAGTGTAGCAGTGATTCTTCTCCCAAATCTTACAAGCAAAACTCTCAAAACGTATAGAAAATGTCAAGAAAAGCGTACGGATCAAAATAGGCAGCTCTAGTCTTTTATTTCCCTTCCAGCACGTTTGAGAACTAGGTAAAATCAGTTTCCTTATTTTTCTCTGGATGTTGGAGAAGGTGCTCCACGAAAGGGGTTAGTCGGGAGCAGGTTCTCCCGACTAAGGATGATCGATCTACGTATGAATTGGGCTCTTTTGCTCAGCTTCAGCTCCTTTTTGCTCCAATGGGCCCAGTTGCTCTAATCCTTACCTAAAGCCTCCTAGTTACCTGAAACAACCTGAAAAAGACTCCAAATACTCCTAAAAAGATCAGTGTACACAGGTTAGAATGAGTCAAAATCTCCACTTATCAACTCTCCCGGACTAGGATCTTTATTGTCCTCAAACAAACCAAAACCTTGTTTCAAAAGAGTGATTGGACAATGGTGGGAACTCGCAAAAACTCAGAAGACCGTAATCACTCTTTGCTCTTACAACTCAGGTTTCCAAACTCGGCTCCTCCCTCCATAGGGTCCATCGAGTGCTAAGGGACACAATTTTGAGTTACTAACGCACCTCCCTTCATCCTTGAACTTTTTCTGTTTTGATTTTTTTTTAAATGGTGAGAATTTGGGAAGGATGAAGGGGGCTCTACATAATTGTATGTGTGTCCCTGTAATGCGAGAAAATTTTGAAATTACAGACATTGTACCTCAAACGGTAGACATGGACTTTTTCTGAACTTTTCTCAGAGCAAGTGCTCGATGATAGAGCATGTGCTCTGTCCTCCTTCTATACTCACGATCTCCAGCAAGAGTGAGTTAAAGGTTGCGTCAATCCTGTTCTCCCCAACCCTTTTGCACATAGCTGCACATATGAGAGACATAACACGAATGCAAGAGGTCTCAAAGGAGTTAAAGTACAGGGATGGGTACTAGCTAAAAGTGAGCCAGCTATTCAGGATCAGCAAGAGTGGCAAAAGGATAAGAAATCCTGAATATATCATGTAAGTCGTTTTTTATCCTAATGCCTGAAACAAGAAGATTTGAAGTCCAAATTAGTCCAGATAAGATAGAGTTTACTGTCTTTCTG